TCACTCTCACTCTCACTCTCTCTCTCCCTCTCCCTCCCTCTCTTTGTCTACCCTGAACCCTAAAGCTAGAGCCCAAAACCCCTCCCTTCAGCTGGCGGCGCGTCTTATCTTTTCCTGTCTTTGCACAGGTCGCTCCAAGTCATTTCGCAGCAAGAAGCCAAGCGGAATCGCCGCCTGGAAAGCATTAGCCCTCTCGTCATAACCTGGTATAGAGTATATTAATGTAGTATTGCATAACATGGTATACAATGGCAAGGCAAAGTAAATATTGCAGAATAATATGATACACCCCAGAATAGCAAGCGCAGGGCTGCCAAGAAGCCGAAGCCTGGTTCGAGCCTGCTACTACGCCTTCCACTGCGACTGCTGCTGCTGCTGGTAAGCTCCCACCGTAAGAGCACTGGAAGGCCATCACTCACCGCTACGTACGTCCACACAGCTGCCAGGCAAAGCTGCCGGAGATGGTGAAATGGGCCCTTGGGAGGGCAACAACACTCAGGCAAGCGGCGACAAGGCAGGAGCATGGGGTACTCCCTCTTACATGATAAGTAAGTAGTAAGTAAAGCCAGCGGCTTGGCCCTCGTCTGTTGTTTTTATCGTGTTTCTCATGCAATGATGTCTGCCCCCAAAGGACTCTGCGTACTCTACTCCGCCTGGGCATCCTGAATCCTAAACCGTAGAGTGTTTGTTGCTCATATGGAGTTTCCGAAAATTAGGGTACCTTATTTTGGGGTCCTTATAATAAGGATCCTATTATTCAGGGTATTATATTAGGGTCCCCTATTTTTGGAAATCCCCATATATCACGCCAGATCTTGACTGTGTTGCAACGCTCCTGGAGTCATGACGATACTTCTCTCTCTTTGTGCACTTACGGACAAGTGCAACCGGACAGAAGTACAGGATTCAGAGCCAGAGCAGAAGCAATACTAGCAACACGCGAAACACGACACATAGTGCTGTACCGACACGAACCATAGCAATAAGATTCTAGCGCTCTAGCGGCACTTGCAGCGACGATAGCAGACGTGCCAAGAATAGCAGATGATAGCCGACAGGCTATGTACAGTGATTAGGGCAGTATCATGTCTCACAACCTGGTGCCATTGACTGCAGTAGCAATACTGGTAGTATCCGTGTCTGGCAGAAGAAAATTTGCAAAACAAGGAGAGGCAGCAACAGATGCAGTGAACACCAGCAGGAGCAGCAGTATCAACAATAGCAGCAATAACAGCTGCATCAACAACAAAAAGCAACAATACTGATGTCAAAGAAAGATCATGACTTCCATGATGGTGATAGCGATGATTATCGCCGTGCCACCACGTCATCGCCACCCTCGCCATCCCCATTCTCATCCTGGTTACTATCCTCGTCAGCAGCACCAGCAAGCCGATAGAGGGGGATCCGAATAATGAGCACTCCTTCCGCACGATACCTTAACTCCCTGAAGTCCCAAACCCTTGAACCCAAAGACCCTAAACCCTAAACCCTAAACCCTAAACCCTAAACCCTTAAACCCAAAGACCCTAGACCCTGTCCCTTGACCAGTCGAAGAACCAGCCGGGTTGCCGGCTCAGCCTTTGAGCCTGTCAGAGGGCTTTTCGGGCGTTATAGGGTTTGGGATTCAGGGTTTGGGTTTAGGGTTTAGGGTTTAGGGTTTAGGGTTTAGGGTTTAGGGTTTAGGGTTTAAGGTTTAGGGGTTTGGGATTCAGGGTTTGGGTTTAGGGTTTAGGGTTTAGGGTTTAGGGTTTAAGGTTTAGGGTTTAGGGTTTAGGGTTTGGGATTCAGGGTTTGGGAGCTCAGGGTTTCAGGTTTTGGGTTCGCTCTTGTGACGGGGGTAGTTCCAACTGAAAACTCAGGGCCCGCAGTGGACGAAGCCTGGCAAGCTACTTCCACCCATAGCCCCGTGATCATATACCTTTGAGCACCCTTAAGGCCTCCCTAAACCCTTAAACCCTAAACCCTAAACCTTCATCCAGAAAGCCCGAAGTTGGGAAAGCGGTCCCAGGGATTTGGGAAAAGGGGGCCATGAAGCCCAAGGGGGCAGAGGTCTTGTTTGAGGCTGTGCTGGCGCTGTAGCGCGTTTCTCACGGCTTATGGCTGTTCTCGGATTGGCTCTTAATTTCGGGCAAGACTCGTAGACTTCCCTGCGTTGAGCGTGTGAGTGAGTGAGTTTTCAAGGCTTGGAGCAGTACTTTAGAACCTGAAATCGTTGCGTGCACAGATCGTTCACAGTGGAAGTAGCTGCAGTTCCATTTCCAGCGCTGCTTGTATGATCATAGATCTTTCTGGCCATTTCCCTGGCGTTGGGCTCAAGCAGGTAAGCCCTACACCCGAAAGAACCCTTGTAAACTAATCCCTGAGCGCCTAAACTCAATCCCTAAATCCTGCACCCTAAACCCCAAAGCCTAAACCGTAACTCGAAAAAACCCTGAACCCTGAACACTAAACCCTACACCGAACCTCGACCCCTAAACCCTGCGCCAGTCACAGCGGGGCTTTCTAAGGCGCCTTGGCAAAAGCCGGTGATCCGTCGCGGCAGCCGCGGCCTCATCAAGCCTCGGATTTTGACGCGGTTTTCGGGCTCCTACTTCGTAGAATAATGGTTTGGAGAGCCACTAGTGGTAGTCTTCGTTGGAGTGCCCGTCTCTCTTTCAGTATAGCATGTACTGGCTGTGTTCTGAGAAGTTCCAGGTTAGGCTTGCTTTCTCGGCATTTTCAAAAACCTCAGACCTGCAGCCCGAAACTTCGAAACCCAAAACTCTCGATCCCAAAGCTCCAAACCCCTCCCCCCCCGCAAAGCCACCGCCCAAACCCTAAACCCTAAAC